AGCGGCTTGGTGGCACCTGGCGTCCAGCCAAGGTCAACCCACCACAATGAGCAGCATAATATTCATAATCTCTGAAGATGAAAAAACGGTTGCTCCTTATCTACTAAGACAATCCACAGTAATATAAATCCACTCTAGCCCCATGGATACGAGGCAAGCACAACACATTTTCCAAAGAACATAGTTAAATACTGATCAAGTGACGTCCCAACGGTGACAACCACAGTTGACAGGATGGGCCAGGAAGACCATCGCATCCCACCGACACCGTTTTTACAAAGCGCAAAGGCTGTGTCCATGCTGATCAGCACAGCACTGCCTCTGAACTATAAGCCCAGATGCTTTTAATGGATTAGAATAACACAGGAAAAGTTGCAGGTTTAAAGGCAGCAACATTTCAAGTCTCTGAAAAGTTAACTCCATAATGGGCCAGAATTTACAGTATTTAATCAATTGTTTCAATTTTAAGTGCAATATAGCAATTCAACAGTCACGCAAAGAATAGGCTTGGAATAGAAAATATGCAATTTTATAGAAAATAATTTGGATCACTGTGCTGGACAAAATCAAGACTATCAGTCTATTCAAGTGTGAGGAAAAAATAACCTACTGACATTATCTTTGTATTCTTTTTCTGCTGAAGCGATACGGCTACCAACTAACAAAAGTTCTCTTGCTTTTCCTTCCTTGAGCCCTCCCATGACAGTCCAAATGAGACGAGCTAATGGCAGTAGGAAAATGTTGAATGTGCATCATAATGAAAGAGGCAAATAAAGTCATCGGAACTTGCCCTTGTCAGAGATGCAACAACGTGACTGGAATTGCTGTACTTCCCAAGAAGAACAGAGGGGTACAGACTCTACCAAGCATTCACATGCGGTGTCTGGCCATTAAACCACAGAGATAAGGCGACTGGAAAGGCCTGCATCATCCTGGTCTGCCGTCCAAGGCAACTAGATAATAAATGGTACGGAAAGCTGCTTCTGGCAGGCTGGAGTGCTTAGAAACCCGAGGGCATCTCCACCGCAGGACAACCCCTGCCACCGCTCCCCGGCGGGCGGTTCCACAGCGCACGGCTCCGAGTACGGGAGCAGCCCTGCTCACCTCCGGCACCGCTCACGGCCGGAGCACCACACCTCGCTGCTGCCCACTTGGGAATGATGACGGACCGCACCGTCGGTTACAGGCTGCGGAGTCAAGCCGAACCATTAGATTTATACATGAACTTATGTAAACGTTTACATAAACACATGTATTTACATATATTGATAGATTGATAGCTCAGAACACAGCCAAAAGGAAAGCAGATGCTTGAGAAGCAGCCACACGCGTCTACGCATCCGTTCACATCCAACACCATGAAGGCGAAGCTGGCCACGGGCTCATCAAGACGTTTAGTGTGTCTGCTGGGAAACAACCCAGGATTTTCTCATCTCGTGAAGGAAACAGTGGCGATACGGTATTATGATCTCCATTCCTGTTGTTAGCTTGTTTTTGCTGCTTCTTCCGTACCTAGTGGTGCCAAAGAACCTTCACTTGGGTCTTAAGTCATTGCGCAAGCTGGGACGGTAGCACCAGGAACCTCCCCGTGCGCTTCCTACGTTCAGAGCTTTTATTGCAACATATTGAAACTAGCTTCCTATTTCCGAGCTGCTGCTGTATTGGCCAGTTTATATCACTGCATTAAATACAAATAAACTCATATTGTACAGTCTACGCCTGTTTATACTATTTGTCATTTAATCCCCTGGTACTGAGAAAGTCTATAGTCTTTCTCTGTGTTGGAAGACTTGAACATTTAGCCTCAAGTACAGGAAAACCTGGGAAAAAACCTGGAAAATTAGTATTTATATACTTCATGTAAACACACCCTGTGTTTTACTTCTACATAGCTCCAAACACTGTGGGATTCTTCTCCATCCTTACCAATTCAATCCTGCTTTTTAATTTAAAGGTCAAACCATACCAGCAAGTTTGCAAGGTTTCAGGTCTCAGAGGCCAGAGCACTTCTCATTTAGCATCAACCAACAGAACAAACTCAAACCACAGTCTTGCTGGTTTGGAAAACTACCAAGGTTCACCAGTTCTGGCAACAGCATGTTAATACACAAGCCCTATGGGCACCTGTCAGAATTTCATATTTTTTAAGCTGTCTACTCATGCATAATATGTATATTTATTCATCCCTCTCTGGTTGTTTGCCAGATATTTATTGTAAGTTCCTTGGTTCTGGTGTAACACATATTCTCCTCCTCCTCCCATCCTTGCCTACACTGTCTTTGACACTGTTGGCATCTCTCCCTGAGAGAGAGAAAATTAAAAGGAAAAAAACCCAGAACCTGCAATGTTAATGGAAGAACACAGGAAGGTTAGAAAAAATGTCTTTTGACCTTCACATTTTTTACTCAATGACATAAGAATAGCTAGAAAAGAATATAAGCATATCTTAAGGTCAAAAAACTCATCAGCTGATAAATAGTCTTTTTGTGCACCACAAAACTGAGTTAAAAGAAGGTATTCAGTCATGTTTCCATCAAAACTTGCTGGTATTTTACTTAGGGCAGAGAAACTCAAGCATTTCAGTATGAAATACAGTATTTTACACAGTTCATTTGGAGTTCAGAATAGTTTCTGCTCTTTTATACTTTTTATGGGATAGACTTTGAAATTGCATTTCTCAGTTTGCTGTTAATATCCACATCTTGGGCTTAAGAGTTTATTCTCTGCTTCATGCACATGTGTCGCTCCCATTAATGTTAATGGAATCGAGTTAAAACGGAGCACTGAGGGAGAAAAAAGTACTTGCTAATCCTTTATAACCTTACCGCAAAGAAAAATGGTTTCTAAACCATGGGAACCCAAAGATCAGGTACAATAGCTGCTGACTACTGTGCTTGGAGTTACGGGCTATTCCTTGGGTACTGCGAGGAAGAAAGGATAAGCCATGAATTACAGAAGCATGACTCTTCAATAACAGAAAAGAAACACAGTCCTATTTTCAACGACTGGCTTTTTTACGGTGGCACAAGTGGTCCCTGAACTGCAGACCTGGATTCGACTCCCTTGGTGCCTTGCAGCACTCAGAAAACCAGGACGACCTCAGCTGTGCCCACCCTGGAGATGCAAAGCCGGTGCCTCCTGCCATGAGCACGCGTCACCCTCCTGCGGTCCCCGTGGAGCCCAGGGAAGGACATTGGGCTGTGTCTACTATTTTCCTCTCTAGTTTTGCTCTGGGGGAGACAGTAGCTGGTCGAACCTTTTAATTAATTAAAGGTCGAACCTTTAATTAATTAAAGGTCGAACCTTTATTAGACAAGGTCTTTTATACATTTGTTTTCCCTGAGCATTGCTTTCTTAGCTATTTGCTGTGGGTGCCTCTTTAGGACAACACACATCAAGAAAAGGCCCACTCAGCTCATATACAGATCTAATGCTGATCTTCATTTGTCTCTATTTTTGTTTGCAGGGACCAGCATCGGCATGGGCAAATGCCATACAAGCTATTCCAAGCAACCCCAAACCTGAAAAACTCTTGGTGTCAATATGCTACAGCAGAAGATATGAAGGGGTGACACAGCCCTCCACCCTGGGGCGGCACCGTTGGCTCCTTGGCGTAAGGAAAGCAGAAGGGCCAAGTGGCATGAAGCACAAGCCAGAGACATCCCATCTAACTATAAATACCTGACAGGATAGCTAAGGCAGAGCCAAACATCTGACTCCGAGAAAACCCGTTGCTGTCCCGCTGTCTCCGGCAGGTTACAGTAACCTGTAAGAGGGGCTCGCCAGCTTTATCAGCACTCGCTTGATCCTGGCATTACTTGCTGAAATGTGCTCCAACTATAAAAACCATGGATTCAAACTTGCATTGAAACGTTTCAAAGTATTCCCTATATACCATAAAAATAATTGATGGGGAGAGCCTCCGACCGAATGCTATCCATCAATGCCAATATATGGGAGAATTAAAACTGACAGCATTAGAGCTTTGTGATTGACTTATTGCTTTGTAATCAATCTTTCCTGATTTGTTATCCAATACAGGTTTTTCCCCAAATAAGGAGGAGATGGAGAGTGATTGTAAGTGTAATAATCTATATATTCATTGCCTATAATACTTTATCAGACATGGGACCACTCATAAGCAGGACAAAAATTAAGACATTTGTCAGTGTCTCTCATTGTTTATCAAATTACTACTTTAAATATTTTTGTCAAATGTTATAGATTTCTCTTTTGAAAAAAATATTTGACAGAAAAATTCCAAACACCCATGAATAAACACTTCAAATTCCTGAAATGCAGGAATTCAGCCCTGGATAAGAAATAATGAAATTAAATCAGAGTTTGTTCATCTTTTCAAAAATTATGACATTGAATTGCAAGGGTGAAACTCTTGCATCATTCTGCAACAAGACAAGCTGTATTAAAGAGTTCAGGAGGTTTTAAAAAAGATAATAGAAGTTTAGGAATAACAAGAACAAATGAAGTTGAACTAGACAAGACATGTTTTTAAAGAACACCATCTAATCTCAGCATGCCGAGGGCAACATTTCTCCACAGGTACGCCCTGGCTCTATGCACATCCTTTGCAAAACTGAATCTCAGGACACAGCTGGCTGCGGCGACAGCAAGTATTTCTCAAGCACGATTACTGGCCGTCGCTAGAAACAAGTCATACAACGCTACGGACCAGGGACCTGGCTTTGCGTTACAATTCCCGTATCATTTGCGGTATAATTTTAAACTACGTGTGAAAACCAATGCATTAACTTGCTGTAAGCACCATCAGTCAGTGCAACCACAGACACCTTCTGCTGTTAACCTTGGCCCCAGCCCGTGAGGCTCAGCAGGTTTCCGAGGTGCAGGAGGCACTTTAATTCCCCCGGGCTCCACTTGCGTCAGCATCGAAGGGGAAAGGCGCAGCGTGCACGGGGCTGCTTGGGACGCGCTTCCCACGATAAAATGAAGTATCAATCATATGCAAAAAAAATTGTAATTACCTTTCACAACCAAGCTGCCCGTGCTGCTTGCTGTCCCGAAGTGGTTTGTGGCCACGCAGGTGTAACTTCCCGCGTCGGATTTGGTGACGTTGACAATCCGGAGGCTCCCATCGTCCAAAACAGTGATTCTGGAAAGACAGCAGACACAAATGTTATATATTTTTTATGTTAACATAAAACTCTTTCGAGTCTGCATTAATTATTGATGGTTTGAACAACAGACAGTCTGCTGCCCGTTACAGAGGTAGTTTAACTGACAGAAATCTCTCAGGATGCAATTCATAAATACTGAATGCATCATTTACATGAGTTTTCTGTGTCTTTACTTGAGGGCAACTTTAATTTACACACCAGCAGCTTGTGTAGGTTTTACGTGCGTCTGTACTTCGATATTCAGCACTCACCATGACAACCCTTGCAACACGCGGTACGCAGGCTACATCCAAAACTCTCCGCGCTCGCTGCTTAACAACGTAAGAGCTTCTGCCGAACAGATGCAATGGAGCAGGTGTTTCACTGCTGCTTTTTTTCAAGGCAGCCGATGGCTTTTCAGCGAGGCTGCGACGCTGCCAAGCTTCCCCGCTGCGCTCTCCACCTCTCTGCCTGCAGTAGAACTCAGCCCGCGGCGCTTATCTGCAGTTGCACTTGCAGGTTAAAAAAAGAAAATCTCCTATTTCATTCCTCACGCCTCCTCGCATACCTACTCCCCCTCAAAACAGCGCAGTTATCCGCAGCGGCGCGTGTCTCGGGGCGGGAGGCGGGCGAGGATGGGACGTTAGTTCCCGCGGTGATCCCCGGCCCCTTGCTCTCACCGTCAGCTCTGCCTCCTGCTCCGTTTGCTTCTGCTCCAAGTCAGTGAAAACAGAAAACCTGACCCTGCCCAGTAAATCCCACTGAAACGTGAATGTCTTTGTGGAGGCAAAATCTAAGGAGACTCCAGAAAAACCTTTCCTCAGCCTAATATCACCTCTTCTAGCAAAATACTCGGTTGTCTGCTCAGTATCGTGCCTTGCAGCACAATCTGCTTTTTCCCCTTCAGCCACTTTCAGACCTGCGTTGAAAATCGTGTATTAATTCCCACCTTTTCCCGCTCAATTATTTCCCAATTTAACTAATTCGAAAGAAAATGAGGAAGCCTTCCTGCATCCTTAATGCCAATCAAGCTCTGCGCAACCGGATTGGGAAATTAGGAGAGAAATTTAGCAAACAATCCTGCACCACTGCAGAAGAGCTCAGGTGGCACTTCCCACCCGAGAAGGCTTTAAGAAACGGACTGCAGGAATCGGCACGAGCCTTTTCTTGCCGCCACGGGACAGCACTGAGGCGGCGGAATAAAGTCCCAGCGCGAGACGAGGCGTGAACGCAAGCGCAAAGGACATCTGCCCACGTCAGCCGCGGGGCTGAACACGGTCTCCAGTGAGACTCAGGAGACACCATCTCACCGAAGGGAGCCGGTGCGGCTGCCTTGTGTCACGCCAAGCTCTCTTGGTGGGCACACACGGGCTACTCAGGCCACAGGCATAGGTCTGCTTTGAAAAGTGGGACAGATGCAGTGTCTTTGCAAGGACGGTATCGAGCGAGGAGGAGGAAGACGGTGCAAGATGCTCTGACTGCGGCCACCAAATCTCCGTCCTGGCTAGCCTCTCCCTGCCCTGCTCTTGCAGCAGCACAACAACACGCAGGCCAGCTGGCAGAGACCAGGGACAGAGGTTATATTTCACACATCAGTAGCAGTGATATTAATAGAAGTTTCTCAACCGGCTTATAGGTCTCCAAATTGTTGCAGTCAGTAACATTCACCACTGTAATTTATTTTTGCAGGAGTCCAGTACCATATATTTGCTTCTGTAGCAGTTGCTCCAGCTCAATAATTGGAAGACAGTAGCATATAGCTACTTGTCTCTTCATTTCACTGCTGCGCTGGCACCAATCAATGCACGTATTACATTAAACGTCCACTGGAGCACAGGACTTGCCACACTGGCCTCCAGTGCAGGAGCCTGGGCAGCGGCAGCACCAGCAGCTCCCCAGGAATTATTTACTGCTGTTATCAATTTCAGCTCTTTGGAAACAACAGTGCCTTTCTGAAAGCTGAAGGTGCCCTTAGCACGTGTTAAAATACAAATCAATATAAATGACAGAACAAGCTCAGCAATATGCTCCAGCTCAAGGACCACCCGGCTCCGGCACTGCCCCGCCAGGCTCTGCACTCACTCCCTCAGCATTTTTGCCATCCCAAGAAATCCAGAAGAAAGTGATGTTTTAGACTATTTCTGTACAGTTGTGAATGTATTTTTATTAATTTATGTTTTATTTTTAGCTAGATGGTTGAAACCTATTTACTGGATAATCTCTTCCATAGATCATTTTAGTTGTACCTGCTGATGAAGCCATCTTTAACTTCAAATTCTAATGCCTTTTCTGTCTCTGTCTTTCTCAGGCTACTGGTTTCCTTCTAAGTCATCTTTATTCCCAGTGTAAAATTAGTATGTAGTTAATGTGGACTGGATCGCTGTAGAGACAACCTTTGGGTGAGGACAGTGGATCCAGGCACGTCTCAGGGAACTAGGCTGTCTTTATTTCCTTCCATTTCTAAGCTGAAGGCCACGGCCGGCTGGCTTTACAATTTGAGCACACGGGCGTGCTTGAGCTCTGGGAACACACTGCCAAGAGTTCAGGTGGGGCTTGCGCAGAGTTCTCCAGACCCGTTCCCCAGGGAGTCTCCAGGCATGTTTAATTCTCATCTGGTAACCAAGTAATTCCCTGCACACTCCCGTAAATGACCAACATTACAACTGACAAATAATTGTGCAAGTTAACTGATTTTTTTTTTAAATAAACCAGTCCATTAAAACCTTACTGTGACTCATTGATTAGGAGGCCTTAGAGTTATGTGGCTCTTTTTGCTGAAGGTGCTTTTCTACACTGAATGTTTTGTCCTCTAATTTGAATCCAATGTGTTAGAAGTTAAGTAATTATTTTAACAGTTTGAAATTTGTTACAGTTAGTTGAGAAAGTAGGAAGGACTTTCACTGATTTTGCTAATTCACAAATTTTCTTTGCAGACATACCTGCATTAAACGAGAGGGGAGGCTCATTTCAGGCCACTGAGGGTTCTCAAACTGCTAATTAGCTTGAAAGCAAACATCCCTTCATCAACCACTTTCAGCAGCTTGGTTGAAAAGTTCTTTCAAGATACAAAGTTCAAATTAAATGAAGCACTGTTCAGTACGCTGTCTTCCTCTTCTGAAATACACCCCCCGAGTGTTTTCTAATCAGATGCCAAGGAAGACATAAAAATAACCCACATTTCCAATAAACATGTGTATTACTTCAGAACAGAAAGCTGGTTGCTGAGTATCCACCTCTTTAAGCCACTACAAACTCAAAAAATGACCTATTGACTTGCTATTGAATGTTTTGGGTTCCCTGATACTACTAACTGCAGTGGTGGTAACAAGAACTAAAAATGTAAATCTCTTCTTATATAGGTTAATGCAACTGCTCTACTGATAACCTGGCTCATGGTCACTGCTAAGATCAGAGAAAAATCAAAGAAGATAAAAATATCCATTTGAAAAAAAAGATGCTACAAGAGTTTAGCATCCTTATATAAAGAAAGGTCATCTATTTTAAACGTAGCGTTTGTAAGAGAGAATCTGTTGGTCTGTGTTGTCAACTGGAGATTTCAGGTCCACAGAGAGCAGAGACACATCTGAAATTAGGAGATAAAAGGATTGTTTGTTTCCTAAACCGAAGCTTTGGGTTCTACCCCAGGAAGAGCTGACCTTGTCAGTGTTTTGATGAAAACTCTTCTGGGGACAAAGGACCTTTAAAAATGCTGAAAACATTCCTCCCTAGCCTTCCTTGCCCATTTTTTTTTGCCTCTGCAGCAGCAAATGTAAAAAGTTGCAAGCTGAACACTTTGCATTGCCCTGAAGAAGCCTCTTCCAGAACCGACAGGCACACGGTTTCTGTCGCAGCTTCTTGTCGACACTGCATGCCCGACGACCGCGCACGCCCTTGGCCAGCTCTGCAGGAACGACGTGTCTCAAGGCACTTGCCCGTTTGGTTGGTGCGAACCTTGAAAAGTACGCGAAGGAGGAAGATGCGTCTTTATGGATGAAAAATATCTAAGGGTGTGCGACAGCTGCTCAGAGCTCCGTTGCCACTCAGAGACACCCACGCTACCCAGGAAGGACCCACCTTGGCACCACGGCCACATCGGCACGGCCGGCTGCCCGGGTCAATAGAGCAGTACTACCTCGCCCAGCACCTCCAGCCGCAGCTGGGGATGGATGGAAGAGGTCAGGCAGACCTGGAGCAGCGTGAGGAAAAACAGCAGTGCTAATCATTTTGGTCTGATCTATTAGTGCCTACTTTTCAGCTCACGGTACGTTCTGCCACATCTGTTAAGTCGCCCATCAGCAGGTTACGTTACCTCCAACCCCGAATCGAGCACAACAGATCTCACGCGTGTAGCTCACCACAGCATTCCCTGCTGCTGGGCAGGATTCCCAGGAGCAGATAAATGTTCCTCAGTCAGAAACATATGCGTTTAGAGATAGAATACATCCTGTTGAGATCAGGAAGAGTTTTAGCACTGACTTTGTGAAAATGAGATCAAGCCCTTATTTGGAATATAAACGATGACCGAAAACTGCAGAACTCCCAGAGCACATCATAAAACTGAGTATCAGTAATTACCTCCAGCCCCGCTCCGAGGAAATCTGACCTTTAGGTGTCTGACTGCACCGCTCGTATCTACCAGAACATGCTCACGACCTGCCGCTAAGGTTTGACCTCATGCTTTGACAGAATGTTTGCTTAAAAATCCCAGGCTTGTAGTATCTATTGTAACATCTTGCTCTGTTGTTTAATTAAAAGAAAATCTATGCAGGTCCAGGAACCAAATACATGAGCACTGCAGAGCCAGGGGTTGTTCACCCTCACCCACACCTTGCAGTTGCCGGGTGAAAGCCTTCGCAGGGATAAGCTGCAGGTCCATGCACTAACCTTTTCATTGCGAATTATTTTCCGACTCACAAAGTACACACATCACCGACAGAAGATCTGCACCAGACAGACGATACCGCAAGTATCCCTCAATATATCCTTCTCCGCTTGC